AATAGATAAGACAGCTAATAATGTAGTGGCTTAAAATTTAATCATTTAAATAATTAGAATACATTTATGCATTATAAGCCAATTAAAATTAAACATCATTATATTGGATCATAACATTAAGACCAAACTTTATACTGTATACAAAAACACATGTATATGCAGGTTGAAAGATATATTTAAAACTTTACCAAAAGAAAACAGAAACAGTTATATTAATATAAGACAGTAAATTTCACGTAACTGATAACTGAACATTAATTTATTTATGAAGTTCTCAAAGAGTTAATAAAAATATTGTTAACATTTTGTTCATTTTGAAATAACAGTTATTTGGGGGTATCGTTTAGTCTGACAATACTTTTTTTTAATTTTTACAAAAACTTTATTAAGAATTTCATACACGTATATAAGGTGTTTTGATCATTAATTTTAAAAGAGTAAATTTCATAAAATGACATAATATGCATAAATGTATATGGACCTAGCAACAGAGCTTCAAAATACATGAAGTATACAGATAAAACTGGAAGAAGCAAGAAAGTTCCCTAAATATTCTTGGAGACTTAAACTTACTCTCAGCAATTGATAGGAAATGTAAACAAATTTTCACCAAGGATACAGAACCCATGAATCACATTATCAGCTAAATTAAGCTAGTTGATATTTATAGAAAACACTACACCAAACCTCCAAATACACATTCTCTTCGAAATCACAGTACTCACATATAGTGGTTGATTTATAGGATTATTATCATACTATGGTTAATGACAGAGTATTATCCAAGAAAAGAATGGACTTGAGAAAGAGAGAAAACATGCATCCAGAAATAGTTTTCTGCATATATGAACAACTGATCTTTTATGAAGATAGAAAGGCAATTCAGTAAAGAAGAATAAGAATCCTTTCAGCAAGAAAATCTGAACAAGAAATGCATGAAAAAATAATGGAAGAAAATATTCACAAAAATTATCTGATATGATGTTAATATCCCAAAATATGTGGTGAACTCAAATAACTTATAGATTTGGAAAGGAAGTAGACACTTCTCAAGAAAAGACACAACAATGCTCAACTGGTATAGAAAGGTACTCCACATCAGTAATCATCAGATAAAGCATATCAAAACCACCATGAGATGTCATACTCTACCTGTTAAAATAGCATTTATAAAAAATACCAGTCAAATCAAGGATTGCTGGGAATGTACAAGAGAAGCTGTGTACACTGTTAGTATGTAAATTAGAACAGTCAGTATAGCCAAAACAGAAATTTCCTAACAATATTAAATGTATTACTCTCCTATCATTCAGCAACCCAAAACCAGTTATATTTCAAAGGAAATAAGACGGATATGTCATAGAGCTACATGCTCTCCTACATTCACCACAGCATTATTCATAAGAGCCAAGACATGGGCTCAATCCAGACATGAATGTGATAGATATATACACAACAGAATATCATTGAACCTTTACTCAAGAAAACCCTGTCATTGTGGAACAGTATAGATGAACAAGGAGGGCATCACATTAAATGAAATAAAGCCAGGCCCAGAAGGACAAATGCTGATTGAGTTCACATCTATGTGGAGTTTAGAAAAATGGACTTGTACAGAGAACAGAATGCAGTTAACAGACTTCAGAAGTGCAGGAAGGATGTTGCTCAAAGAATATAATAATGGTGTACTATATACTCAAAAACCATTAAAGCAGATTTTGAGTGTTTAGTCCAGAAAAAAATCAGCATGTGAAATATATATTAATTAGTCACACTACAATGTATACACATTTCAAAACACCATGATGTGCAGCAAAAAAATACTCAATTTTAATTTTGACTATAAATAAAAGACTTGTGCATATACATTTCCAAAGAAAATATATGAAAGTGAAAAAACAAGGAAAGATGTTCAAACACCATTAGTCATTAGGGAAATACAAACTATAATGAGATTAAAAATATATACCTTTTTGAATATTGTATTGTATGACTAAGTTTATATGTTTACAAAAATACAAAGTTGATTGCTGCTTATTTAGGATGGAAGAGAAGAGAATAGGTACTGACTGCTAACACTTAGTATGTTTTTAATATACCATTTTATTAATTTAAAAAATCATACATGCATACAACATAGTTTAATTATATTCACCCAATTCATCTTCCTAACTCCTTCCAGAACCATCCCCAACTCCTGCTCCTTCCAATTATGTGTGCTCTTCCATTTATTATTTATTTATTTATTTGTTTATTATTTATTTATTTATTTATTTATTATTTATTTTAATATGTGTGTGTGTTGCCTGCACATATGTAAGTGCATCCATGGTGTGCAATGCTCACAGAGGTCCAAAGAGGATGTTGGGTCCTCTGGAATTAGAGTTATGGATGTTTGCTAGCCACCATGATGGGAATTGAACCTGGTCCTCTGCTGAACAGGCCACACCAGACACAGGACTTAGAGCAATCGAGCTGGAACTGACCTGGAAGCCTCCTACCTGAAGACTAGTTCTCACGGTATCAGAGGATACTGTGCACCTGCCAAGGGAGAAAATCAATTAATGATCCTACACAGTTGGAAAGCCTAATAAACAATGACTGGCCCAGCAAACTATATCCTATTGGTGTCATAGTGGCATTTTTATCTTGGTGGTAATCAACAACTGTCTAATTGTGATTAAGGCCCACTCAATGGGAAGGAACTCATGTGTGGTACTGTAAACATAGCCAAATACACTTAGCTGGAGAGACCATAGATCCTAGGAAAAAGACTGACTTTTGCCACATCCCTAGACCCACATAATTTCTTATTTTATTCTAAATATGCATACTCATATATACAGACAAGTGTACCCTTCACCCCTCATCAAAGAAACTTATTTTGCAACAGATGGAAACTATTACAGAGTTACAGAACTCATCAAATGTAGAGAATACATGTCTGTGAGATGCTTAACCCTAAGTAACACATCTTCAATGCAACCTCTACACATAGGATGACTGCATCTCTCAACTCTCACTAGAGAAATTTCCTTATACAACAGATAGTAATTAACATATAAACCCACAATTGGCCAATGCACAGAGAACAAGATGCCACAGAGTGCTTATCCCTGATTAGGGCACCTCTTTCAAACCTCTGCCTCTCAAGGCTCAGGGGTCATTGTGGAAGAGGGGACACAAAGTTTGTAAGAGCCAGGGGGTGTGGATGACCACAAGGAAACAGAGTTTTCCAGACATCTGGTCAATTAAATGAACTCACAGTAGTGGTAACAGCATGCACAAGTCCTATGAAAGCTCAAACTAGAAAAAAAATCCTAGCATAGGCAAGGAAACGTGGGTAAGAAGTCCCAACCTAAGGAACTTGTGACAACTGATATCTTC